CCATATGACCAAAGACTTATATGGGAGTTTCCGAAAATAGGGGACCCAAATATAGTATCCGAAATAGTAGGATCCTTATTATAAGGACCCCAAAATAAGGTAGCACTATTTTCGGAACCTCCCATATGCCTTAGGATTCAAGATGCAAGGGTGAAGCTCCCCTAGACCCAAACCCTGAGACCCTCCATCCAACTTTGGGTCTGGGGCTTCGGTTTTAGGGTGTTGGGCTTTAGGAGTCGGACATGGCGATATTGAGAGGCTTCCTTCAGAAGGGTGCATTCGGATGCAAAGTTGACCTAAACCTTAAACCCTAAGTTTCGGTGCTTATTTGCGCTTCATTCAAAGGTTCAGGTGGCTGCTGCTGCTTTTGCTGACGGACCTTTGGGCATGCAGAACTGGCTGCCCGGGTCCGAGGAGGCTCTTCCAGGGTAACCTGTATGGAGAGCCTCGCTACATCTTGGGGCCATCAGCGATGTGGGTAGTTCTCGAAATTAAGGTACCTTTTTAGTGTTCTTTTTTTAAGGGTGCCGTCATTTAGGGAACTGCACATATGTTGGTTTATGGTTTAGTGTCGGTAGGAGCCGATAAACCCAAGCCATGAACTTTACACTTGCCCAATAAATAAAACCTCACCACCCAAACCTTTCCAGTCCATATAAAGCACAAGAGGTGCAGGTTTAGGGATTGAGATGTGGGACATGCAGAGGAGATAGAAATCCGTGTTTCTTACGCAAATGGGTTCTGCTAAATGGCTTTGGGCGCCCTATGATGGCTGCAAGGGCCCGGAGCATCTGAGGGTCTCTTACAGACGGGGGGCTGAGATCTCTTACTATTTGGGGGCCCCTGACCCTAAACCCTAAACCCTAAACCCCGAGGCCGGAATCCCTCGACCCTCATGCCCCAAAGCGCTGAAACCCCTGGAGCTCTCTAAGCCTTGAACGCAAAGTCGGATGCATATGGGTAGTTGTCAAGATTAGGGTCCTTTTTGGGGTACCCTATACATTAGGTGCCGTATTATATTAAGGACCCACAACGGGATCATAATTTTGACAACCACCCATGTGTACCAAAGGATCAGAAGGGCCTCCCATGTAAAAGGAACCTGCCGTGGTTGAACAGTGCCTTTAGCTGGCGTAGGGTTTCGGGTTCAGGTGTTTGGGTTCTAGGGGTTTAGGGGTTTAGGGTTTAGAGGTTTAGGGATTTAGGGTTTTGGGTTTAGGGGTTTAGGGTCTAGGGGTTTAGGGATTTAGGGATTTAGGGCTCTGGAGGTTTAGGGTGGATTTTGCCTTAAGCCCTGGACAGTAGCTGCTTGGCTTGTTCGATGGACTGTTGGCCCCAAGCTGTTCCCAGCCAATTGACAGCGCCACTTCGAGAATCCTTCATTCAATGGTGGTGGTGGGGGGGGTATTGGCGCATGAGGTTTAGAACGTATGTTAAAATTGTTTAGTTTGGGGTGCCTGGCCTTTCAGAATCCAAGGTGGATTGACCTCTGGCCTAGTGACCCTTGAAGCTAGAACCCTAAAGACCATTCCTCCGCCATAAACCTCAAGCCCGTGAAATCTTAAACCCTAACAACCTAAAGCTCAAGCCTGAACTTCTTGTAGCACCCTAAACCCCAAACCCTAAACCCAGCTGATATAAAACTTCAATGCTCGGCAGCTGTTATTCTGTCAAGCCCAAACAGATCCGCTTGGAAATCCTTCCCAAACCTGAACAAACATGATCCCTTTGGCCGTCAGTCACGAAGAGTTGAGCCCATGCTGGCTTGAAATTACCTTATCCGATCGCTGTACGAGAGTTCTTCCAAGGTTTTTCGAACCATGACTTGACAAACCCCGACCCCTCAACCCTAACCAGCCTACCCCTAAAACCCTAATCCCTCGAACCCTCAAAACCCCGAACACCCTAAAACCCGAAAGTTTTCAACCCCTGCGCCCAGGTGTTTGTAGGGCCTTTATAATTTTGCCATCTGGAGCTGGAGGTTCCAGCCCTGAAAGTAATGATGTCTTGATTCGGATTTAAGCTTCAGGGTTTGGCGGTTGAGTTTTTACGGTTTAGAGTCTAAGTTTTCGGGGTTTGGGATTTGTTAGGGTTCAGGGCTTAGGTACCCTTTCTATTCCAACAGCCTCAGACGACCTAAACTCAGAGCTTCCTTGAATAACCTCTGTGACCAGGGGTTTGAGGATAGCTGGTAAGAGTTTATGGTCTAGAGTATCCGCTTCTACGTGACGGTTTCGCACGTATGATGATTGTCTTCAGCATGTTCTAAGTAGCGCTGTCACTGTACTGCAATGGTGCCTCTGCAGCGTCCGGGTGGGTTAGAGTAGGGCAAGGGGTTTATAGGGTACTTACCCTAAGGGTCCGCGTGCCTAATTGTCATTTACTCCCCAAATAACAGTAACCTACATAACTAGAATCCGAAACCCAAGTATCTATTTATTGGGTCTTCTGGACCCTATTAGGGTGACTCATTGAGATGCCGGCTGCCGGCCGGCGCGTTGCGGAGTGCACCTCAGAATGACTAGACTTGCCATCCCTGCTGCAGCACTGCGAACACCGTGCGCAAAAAGGAGCCACCTCCAACCCTCAACTCTGAACCCATAGCCCCAAACGCTAAACCCCAAACCCGTAGTCCTAAACCTTCAACCCTAAACTCTACATCCTCAACACTCTTGAGACTCTACGCTGTAGGTCCTCCAAACCCTTCAATATCTCACGGCCCGAAACCTGCTGGAACCCTGAACAACAAGAAGGCCTACTCGCTGGCCTTCTTCATGGATCAGTGGGCTAGAAAGTAGGGTTGCAAGTGCCATTAATTCGGGGTTTTAGTTAGATATAGATATACCTACAGTACCTTACTTGATCATGAACTAGCCCTACCTAGTAGGGGTCACTCGTCCCTCCGACCCAAGCGCCAAACCCTGAGCCCCAAAACTGCCCAAAACCTAAACCTGACCTATATACGCCCTAAACCCCAAATCCCAAACCCGTAAAAAGCCCAAAGTCCTGAACCCCAAACCCTATACCCTAAGGCCCCATAGTAGTTCCTTTTAGGTTCATAAATAGAAATCCCTAAAAGGAACTACTTGTCGGCCTATGGGTAATGCATAGCCGTAGTGGAATTCAAGCCGGCAGTCCTCCCAAAGCCTCGCTACTAGCCTAGACCCTCCATCTACCCTCGATCTATTAGACCCTAGATGCCCCTTATTTGGGACCATATACCCCTATTTGAGGGTACAACGAGGGTCCTGGAGTGTTTATAGAGGTTAGGGTTTGGCGGCTAGGATTTCCGAGTTTCGGGTCGCTAGGTTTAGAGTTTCGGGTTTAGCAGGGCTTTGGAGTTTGGGGTGTAGGGTTTTGGACTTCAGGCTTGTGGAGTTCATGTTTAGGATTTGGGAGTTTAGGCCGTAGGCACATTGGGGTTTAGGGATTTATATATAGTTCGGGGTCTACGGTTTTAGAGCGCGTCGAGGCTCTGTCGAGGCTCCGCGCACACCACCACGCGAGAAGTGTGTTGTGGTGCGCGCTCAGGTTGACGTTCCCTCCCAACCCGCCAATCCAGTCCATGACCTTTGTCGGGTTTAGGGTTTCTGTATTTCGGACAAGAAGCAACAAAAACACCAACAACGTGAACAAAAACGAGAAAACACCACTCTGTGGGTACGAACGCACTCCTCGCACGAAGGGTTCGTACGTGTCGGCTGCCGTGTTCTGTGCTCGAGCTTCAATGGCCATGAGCTTGTTGGATGTTCTCACGTGACTTGCTGCACGAACATATACTGCAGGAATGGTTACTGCTCAAAACGAAGGGGGGCAGGCTGACGTCATGCAAAAATAAAACACTAACGCCGCGCGCAAGGTCCGAGCGCAAAACCCTCCGCGAGATCATTGCCACTATTACACCAAGATGCTAACACTGCTAAAAGCCTTGACAGGACCTTGGCACAGCCTGGGAGCCTCTGGAGGAACGAGCCCGGGAGGCAGAGCGCGATGCACAAGCTCGCTTCGTCAAGTGTCGAGGGCTCCATGGTTACTCTATAAGGAACCCTGGTCCTGAATCCTAAACTCTTAAACCCTGGTTCCCAAACCCCAACATGAAGTCCTAAAGTTTGCACGCCCTAAATCCTACAGTCTAAGCCTTAAAGGAAGGTCCGAGGTTTAGAAATATTGTTGCAGCACGCTTGTCGTGTGCGCCAGCACCCAAGCTAATCTGGGCGTTTTCCGCTGTACAACTCGCACCAGCTCTGGAGCCGACCTCGCTGACGCCTCGGCACGCTCGCTGCTGCTATTCGCAGCGCCCGCAGTTCGCTCCAGGTTAGGGTTTTTAAGGATTTAGAGTCTAGGGTTCAGGGTGTAGGGTGTTTTAATTACATGTTCGGGCTCGGGCATTATATTGCCGCCTGCAGGAGCCGGAGATTTTTCTAGGCTTGTAGTGTCGGGGTTATAAGAGGGTTTGTAGGGCTCTTCAACATAATGATGCTATCGTATGCGCGAACCTGGTAAGAACAGCTCGCTGCGGCCGTTTCTTCAACAGCTCTCGAGGGGAGGGCTTGGCCCGTTAGCAGGTTCAATGCCTCGGTCATGCCCTAGGCCTTATAATTAAACTCTAAAGCCATACCCTGAGCCGTAATAACCCCCAAGCTTTGCTGCCTGTGCCCAACACCGATGTCAACATGAGTGTCCGGTAAGACGTGTTTCAGCGGTAAGCATGCGCATAGTCTATCGTTGCTTGTACTTGCGTACGCCAGACGCGAACCGATAGAACATGTCAAAGGAACTCCAGGAAGCCTCCACTTCAGGCCCACAGCCCATAAACAAGAGTTTCCCAACTTCAAGCTCGTCGAAACTCTTGAACCCGACCTACCCGAACCAAAGCTTAAACCTCAATTGCGCTAAACCCGAAACCCCGCGTCCCTAAATGTTAAACCCTAAATCCCTAAACACTAAACCCTGAAGCTGAAATCGTGAAAACTGGAACCTGTAGCGTTTGCCTTGTTGCCATGCTCGGCAGAGCCGCCGTGGCCAGCGTTCAGCCAGATGATCCGTCAAGGCCTTGTGAGAGCATGGCGTACCGCGCCTCAAGTTTTGTGTAGTAGTTGATTTTCTAAGGGACTCTGCGAAGCCCTTGCGTGTATGATGCTGAGGCTTCCTTAAACACGTTCAGTGTTCGTGCTGCACTCGCATTTGAAAGCCGTCGAAAAGGCATCGGATGCAGGCTAGAAGCGAGTGACCTCATGTACCTCAACGGGCGCACCAAAAAACACCCTAATTGGCCGCCACTGCGAAAAAGAAAACGCAGAGTAAAACCCACGACCCCCGTCCGACCTTCGTTAAATCACAAGACACAGCAGAAGCAACCAACCACCAGCAACCCCGCCCTAAGCCACAATCCTGCTGCAAACCTCACCCCGAAGCCGAAGCCTTAAAGCCTCGGGCCATAAACCAGCAAAGCCTTAAACACCCGAATCCCCAAGCCTTGAATAAACCGACAGAGCCCCAGCAACAACCGAACACAGATTTTGAATAGTAGGACCTTTTCCATTCTATGAGTATCTCGAACTCTGTACCTGAACCCAAGCCCTGAACTCGAATCCCCAAATCTTCAGTCTTAAACCTTAAACCCGAAATCTTAAAGCCCATGTCCTAAACCCTAAGAAGAGATATATATATATATATATATATCGAGACCCTAAAACTTATAGAATCCTAAGCCCCGAACCCTAAGATGACGCCTTCAAGCACTTTTCTGTTTTTCAGTTGTATGTTTTTTTTATCTTTCCGCCATTCCTATCAATAGTATACACTAAACCCTAAACCCTAAGCCCTAATCTTAACCCCAAACCCCAAACCCCAAACCCTAAACCCCAAGCCCTAGCCCTCTCTGTTCAGGCCGCGCTTCGGGCGCCTGGCCTTGGCCACGGGCGCCTTTTTGGGCTTCGCGGTCCTGAGTGCCATGGCTTTGTGCTTACCTGGACCCTAGGGAACCTACCTTTTTTAGGGTTCCCTAATATGATTTCTTTATATAAGTCCTTAAAAAGGTAGGTTACGTGGGGTTATAGGGCTTACCCAGGGGGCCCCGAAGTATATACTTCCTTTTTGGGGTTTAGGGTTTAGTATTTAATTAGGGTTCAGGGTTTGGGCTTTGGGGTTTAGGGCTTACCCAGAGGCCCCATAGTGGTTCCTTTTGGGGATTCCATCATAAGATTCTATATATGAACCACAAAAGGAACTACTATGGGGCCTTAGGGTGCACTGTAGGCTTTATGTAGTTTTTTCATAGGGCCTTTATGTGGTTTTTAGTGCTTGCAGGCGTTACGGGCTTTGTAGGGCTTATAGGGCTTATCAGACTTTATAGGGCTTTATGGGGTTTGTAATGCTTATTGGACGTTGTAGAGCTTCATAAGGTTTTTTGGGCTTCTACGGTGTCTAGGGCTTATAGGGTTTATATGGCATACAGGGTTTGGGGTTTCTCAGGTTTAGGTTTTGAAGCATCTTTAGGGTTTACAGGGTCTTCTACGGTTTAGGGCGCATAGGTGTAGGATTAGGGTTTGCAGGGTTTGTGGCTCGGGCCAAGTTTAGGTCTTTTTTTGTTCGAGCCGGGAGGGGGGGGGGTGGTTAGAGTTGTCAGCATGTTTGGAGTTTGGAGGGCTTAGGCAAAGGTTGATGTGAAAAACGGGTTTGATGGGCTTGGGGTTGTTGCTGGTGGTTTTGAGTTTGCGTTTGTGTTTGGTGGTTTAAGATTTATTCAGGTGGAAGGGGTCCTATGAGGTTTACGATAGGGTGTATTGTTTTGCCGGGTGTGTGGTCTTTTCGGAACTGTATTTATTCGTTGTTTTTGAAGTTTCGGCTCTTGGATTCAGAGCCGTGGGTCTATCAAACGCTCGACTTCCCTTTAAGTATGGTTTTCGAACAAGCACGGCTTCCAGCTCGGCGCCTGGGATCCTCTGAGTCCTAAACCCTTGTCATCCAAAAAAGGTGGGGGTTTGTAAAAGTTCCATTTGAGCCTTCCAAAGTCGCTGGGGCTATTGCTTGTATAGCACTGTAAGCCTCAAGCCCGGTCTAATGTAGGAACCTGATTAAGAAACCCTGGGCCTGAAACCCCAAAATAGTAGGATTCATAAACGGAACCTTAATAAAGGCCCAAGGTTTCTTAATCAGGTTTCTACATTAAACCCTAGACAGAGCCCAAGAGTTCGGATAGAGGTCTCGTCTTGGCTCCGTCCCTGCCGACGCTTTGGGCAAGGTGGGTGTGCTTGCCGGGAATTTTGAGAGGCGCTTTGGGGTTTTCGGGTTTTACGATTTAGGGTCAAAGGTTCAGGGTTTAATTTAGGGTAAACCATCCTAAACCCTAAACCCTATTCAATCGCCCCTGTTGTCAGGGTGTCGGACGTGAGCGTCAAGGCAGAAAGCTGGGAGCAGCTTCCTGGAATCGAGAGAGCGATGAAAAAAGCACAAAGACCCTCGGCTCGGGATCATGTAGGTGTCGGAAAAGTCAGCAGTTGCATTCTTGGATTTCCCTGATTTTCTATGTAGGCAGTCTAAGCAGTCATGCTTCTGTATGAAACTCACTGTGCGGCTTAGGGGTTTACGGCTTGGGGCATTTAGCTTTGAGTGTTTGAGGTTGTAGGCTTTGTGGACGGTTTGCGGTGGGCCTTACAACAGGACCAGTACGTGGTTTGCACCGGCAAAGTCAGAAGTACTGAGACGGAGACGTCACTTGCAGTAGCAGTAGCAGTCGTCGTAGTAGTCGTAGTAGTCGTCGTCGTCGCAGCAGCAGCAGGAGGAGTAGTAGTAGTAGTAGTCGTCGTAGTAGTCGTAGTAGTCGTAGTAGTCGTAGTAGTCGTAGTAGCAGTAGTGGTAGTGGTAGTGGTAGTGGTAGTGGTAGTGGTAGTGGTAGTGGTAGTGGTAGTGGTAGTGGTAGTGGTAGTAGTAATAGCAGCAGATAGCAGTAGTAACAGTAGTAGTAGCAAGGAAATGCATTTGCAGCACTGGTCACTGGTTGACCGCAGTGACTGACAACTATGAAGATCGGGGGCGGGGGAAAAGTGGGCTCGGGGCTCCAAGATTTTGGGGCTACGGAGGATTTAGGGATTTGACGTTCTGCAAGCGGTTGATCGGATGAGGGATTTCAGCGGATTTGCGCAGGGATTCTGTATGGAAGGGCAGGTGTGGCATCGAGCTCCTTCTGCAAGAAGTTGTAGATCGTCGTTGGATTTCGGCATGTTGGGTAGCGATGGACATGGCTGGGGGGGGACAAATGCAGGATGTACTTCGGATTCAGGCATGCGCCGTTGACAAGCAGAAGCCCCCTGCCTGAACTCGAACCTACTTTATGGGTGCCCGAGAGGCAGCCCCTGAGCTTCAAAAGGGTAGCATGCATCGGACCATAGTCACTAGACCCTAAACCCTATCTTTCATGAAATCTGAACGTCAGGCTTTTGGGCTCGGGGTGGCGGTTCTGGTTTTGAAGGCGGGTGCGCACAAGCTCCAAGCCACAGCCCCACAGGGTCCAAGCAACTTTAACAATATAGTAGGCTCTTAGTTTAGATATTCGGGCCCCCAAAGAATGTACTGACCCTTTGGGGGGAGCTTTCAGGGTTGAGGTCGCGTATTCTCAGGACTCCAAGATGCGCGGGGTTGGAGGGAGGCAGTTGCATAGGTAGCAAGGCATAGCCATAGCCAGCAAGATTCCACATGGGCGCATGGCTCAATGTAGGGTTGGAGTAAGCAAGTACCACTTTAAAATACGGCCAAAACCCTGCTCTGATGACCACCGCACCTTTCTTGACCACTCGAAGCCTTGCACCCTTATATAAGATCTCTGTGCCGCCGAAGGCATGCAGCCCGTTCGCCCGCTTCGTAGCCTCAACGATCTTTTTTTCGACTCGCAGCCGGAAGAGTTTCCCTGGGCGCACTCATCCGCTGTTTGTTGGAAGTTGGGGTCCTGCCTATAGTTGTCATTGTACTTCCTTTTTGTGGTTAACCATTTTAGGGTTAGGATCCCGTAATATAAATTTGGCAAAAAAGGGAACTACAAGGGAGACCGTGGGTGTTCAGAACTGTTCAGAGCTCTTACATCTGTTGTGTGGTTCACCGCGGCATCTTGATGATTCGCTTGCGGGTGGTATCACTGCCAATGCTTGAATGCTGTCAATGGAAACAGATAGCTCAATACAGGGGCCTAAAGAATTACCAAGTTTATTCCAAGGATTTCTTACAATAGTTATAGTATAACATACCCCCAAATCCTATTGCAACTATCAAGGAGCCTATGTTATCAGAGCTCTTCAGGTTTCAGGCCTAATCCCAACAGGCCACAAAGATCAAGCTCAGAGATGTGGAGCCCTAAGGCTTAAACCCCAACTCCGAAAAGTTAGCTTCATGGTTCTAGAGTGCAAGAGTGGAGTCCCTGTTATTGTATAGTAGCCCAAAATTCCCCACAACCCTATGCAAATCATCAGGGTCAAGGCCCCTTGTTCGCTCCGTGAGCTTCCTTCAAGAATCAAGACCAGAAATCAAGACCCGCTCGGAAGGTGTGCAGAAATGGGCTCAGGAAGTTTTACTCCAAAGCCCTAGCCCCCTGAGCTTTAACCTGAAGCCACCCTGCTTCCTTTTCTAAGTCTATGGAACTCTTGTGATGAAATGATTCAACCCCTGCAAAACCAAGCCCCTCAACCTAAATCCCAAACCACTGCAGGAAACCGCACCGAATTACTGTATCTCAAACCTAAACCCCTGAGCGCTGCCCCCAAGCATGTGCGACTGGATGAGGGTTCCCTGGATCAAGACCGAGTGCGTGGTCGACTCTGTCCAGGCAGGTCATGATTGTGCATACACATGTATCTAAATTTCAATTTCACTATAGTCACTATAGATACAGCTGTAGGTAAATGGCACGGATATACGCATATGTCTGGTATACACACACACACTCATAAAATCTGTGCACAGATTGTCATGCTTTCTTTGGGGAGGGGGCCTAAACCCTGCAACCTTCCACCCTGAACCCTACATCCTGGGAGCAGGGATTTAAGGTCTATGATTTGGGGGCGGGTTTAGGGCGAGAGTAGGGTTCGGGTTTCCGGTAGGCCCTAAACCCTAAACCGTCGGGCCTGGCTACACGTCTCGCTGGGGCGATTACGTCTTACCAGCAAGACTTCCAAGTCTCCTGCTGATGCTTATCCCTAAGAGTCCATGTGCCCAAATAGGTTTCCTTTGAGGGTTCCTTGAAGGGTTCTATAGTCTATAGAGTTTAGAAGGAATAGTGATTACAACCGATAGTTTGGCCAATAGCAAGTGATAGTTTGTTTTTTTCGGTACTTGATCATGTAGTCCTCTACAAGAATGAAGATTGTACACTCTTACTTGGTACCCAGTAAGAGTGGAACACCACCGAGAAGCTCAAAACCTCGATTTCCAGTCTATCTCTCTCATTGCTTTCACACATGTAGTCCTCAGATATGTGTGCATAAGATTTTACATTCTTACTTGGTACCAAGTAAGAATGGGAAATCGTAAATCTTAGGTTCGGCCTGCTTCTGGTCATTATTGCCACTGTGTTTTGGAAGAATCGTTGGCAAATTTCAGAGGTGGTTGAAAGAAACCAAGAGCCTGATGCCCAGACTTTTTTTGGGCCTGTGAGAGAACATGCTGACAAGCTAATATATATATATATATATATTTTTTTTTTAATACACATACTACATGCATGCACACACACCTGGCACATGGGTGGGTGTGGGCGAACAGCTGGAACCCGACATTTCGAAAACAACACAACCATGCCTGTTTCTTTGTCCTGTTGGTCACACAGACACCATGAAATTCAGCTTGGAATGCCAGTTGCTGCAGGCTTCTAAAGAGTACCCGTCCTTGGTAGGATTCTCAGTGCATTTTGGCCATCCCCACAGATTTGCTCATATCAAAGGGCTGTCAGCTGAATCTTGTCATGATCATGGTTACCATCATTAATGGACCTCAGCCCACTATTCGTAAATCTTCCCGGGCCCACATCAACTTCCCATTTGAAACCACCAAAAAAGCCCTAAATTGCCCTAAACTTGTTGAAACTAGAAACCCTAGCCTAGACCCTAGTACAACAATTTAAGTCTACCACAGGCATCCTGTCAGGGCCTTGCAGGCAAGCTCGGTGACGAGATCCTAGCAAGAAGAGGCCGGGAGTGTTGGGACAGCACAGAATCATAGAGGCACTGGGACAGTGCACACAGGCACTGTGATAGTGCAACGAGTCACAGGCGCTGGGACAGCGCACACATACTAATCCACAGGCGCTGCGATAGCGCAGAAGAAGGCGCTGTGACAGCGCAGAAGAAGGCGCTGTGATAGCGCAGCAGCAGAAGCTGTCACAGCACATGAGGGGAGGGAATGGGAGGGAGTGAGGGAGGGAGAGAGTGGGGGCGATGGGGGGGAATGGGGGGGGGGGGATGGGATGGGGGGGATGGAGGGGGATGGGGGTCGAACAAGGAAGGAAGGGGGGGGGTGGGGAGGAGTGGAAGCCGGTGATTTTCTGAGTGTACTGCCTGCCACTTGGGAGCTGCCGAACATTGTTCCAGAACTGCCGCAAGATGCTTTTAGGCTGAGCAGTCATGTGGAGTTGAAGCTCATATCATTGACCACACATCGACAAATTATGCAACACATCTCTTAGCAACTGAGTCAGGGAGGTTGCGAATTAGAATGGGTTTTAATTAAATGTCGTGATGACTATGCATGGCAGCCTACTAACTGTTATCCAGGACTTCGTTGAGGGCACTGCTTTAGGCGCCCGCGATGTGTCCGAGATGATGTGCCAGGGCCTTGGCAACTGTCAGCCAGTGATGTGAGAGTGCCCACTTGACACGACATGGTGCAATGCAGTGTGCAGCTGCCTTTTGATACCTCCAGCGCCCTGTGATCGACTGACCTGTCACTGTCGCTTTCTTCGGGCCTTGACAGTTGCAACAGAACTTGAACTTTCAAGTGATTCATGATTTGATTCGTCATGTGTGAAATTAAATGAGCCCCTTGCGTTCGAGGAGTCGTCGTCACGTGAGGAAGAGTTGTGCACAGCTAGGACCAGTTCGACACAGTCTGCGTTTACTGTCTCCAGTCCAGCGACCCATGTCATTCGCAGACGCCGCATCATCGTGACCTCTATAGATTCAGACATGGTTGGTGCATGCACTCATCCTTCGTGGCTGCAAAGGTTCCTGCCTGTGGTTCGCGGCCGCTTTGCCGTGGCCTTGACAGTTGTAATAGGGTTAATATGTTTCACCAACTTCAGCTTTGTCTGTGCTTCTGAGTCTCTTGCCTTTGCAACAGAGCTGTCTTCTGAGTCACTTTGTCGAGAAACCTATAGGAGGGACAGTAAGATCTTCCGGCATAGTAATATCCAGCTCATTAATGTTGATTTGAGGCTGCGGCAACTTCGGTGTCAGAGTCTTCCGATCCCGATTCCTTCAAGGCCCGAGCCTGGTGAGCGGGTGGCTTCAAAGAAGTAGGACTGGGAGAGATATCAAATTGAGTCGGGCACCGGTGATGTCGGGGATAGCCGAGCCCCATCCCGTGCCTTCAACTTTGCCTGCAATTCAAGAGGGTTGGAAGGTAAATTGGAGTTGGTAAACAAGATCCTTCCTTAGCATCGACGAGCTTTGCCTCGAGAGCCTCGTAGCAGTCGTAGAGATCCAGCAGCAGGGCCTGTGAGTGAAAGACCGGGGCGGGAGTTTATAGTTCTGGCACAAGAAAAAAGGGGTTGATGCCTTTGTCTCGTCAGACTGGACACCCAGCTCCTTGATGCGATCCTTGCATTGCACTCGAGACGAAACCATCTGTGATTCTGCAAGCTTGCTGATGGGTGTGCAGCCTCAGCTGTGTCGTTCTTGCTTTGCAGGATCTGGATGGTCTCGTCCTGGCGGATGCACTCGGGAGGGTGGGAGCCCCAGTGATGTCGCTCACCAGGCCTTCTTGACCATTCTGATCATCATGTCCTCCTGAACCATGCGAGCCGTTTCCTGACATAGCAAATGAAGTCATGATGTTGTGATGCCGGTGGTGATGTTCGGCCTTTTTTGCACTCTTGATTTCATGTGCTCTGTACTTCCACTTCGCCTTTTCCTCCTAGCAGCACATTGCAGTAGCTGTGAAAACAAGACTGCATTGACCCCGTTGCCTGGACTTCGCGAAGTTCCGACTCCTTCTTGTCCAGCAAGGCCTGTCACTTCTGCAATGCATGATAGATTGTGTGTTGTGCCGACCCATGCACAATATACTGTGTTGCCCAGACTGATTGCCTTGGCTCCACGGAGCTCCTCGTCGTTCTGGAGGTCTCTGGATTCCTGGGGCAGATTCCCGGATGGCCCTATACGTCGACTGAATTGAACTCCCAGTGCCTTCACTTCTTGCAGCTGCTTTAAGTCGGCCTGCCGCTGTTTTGGAAAATGGTCTGAGTGCACAATGAAATCTGATGTAACTCTGTGCTCATCCATTTCGCCTGTAGGCTTGTGACCATTGTGTCCTTCTGCTGGCACTCCGCCTCCAGGCTTGTGACCTTCTTTTGGCAATCCTCAGAAAAGGGCTTGCAGGATGAATGGCCTGTGATTGTGCATGGCTACCATGCCTGAAGCTGCTTCTTAAGGTCGTCGTTCGACTTCAAGTGGACCTGGCAAGAAACCACAAACTGAATGAGCTTCAAACTGTGTGGAAACCGGGCTGTAAAGGCCTCCTCTGTGGACTTGGCAGTGATGAGGTCCAGATTCACTTTGTGCACTCGGCCCTGGAAACAAACAAGGCATTGGACACAAGTTTCACTTGCAAAACGCCAACACAAACTAGTGGCCTCAGCCATCTCGGCCCTGTGCTTCAAGTCGGAGTTCATGCCCTGCCCAAGAAAAGGTTTGTTCTGGGAACCGCGAATGATGGCATTTCCCTGCCCGGCCCTGCCTGGCACCTGCCCAGCTCGCGGGCCATGTGGTCCGCTTCACTCTGAACCGTCGCCAGCTGTGCTTTGAGCTCCTTGATCTCTTTCTTCAGTGGAGCCCTGATCGCCTCACGATCAGCCTGGGAGCGTGTCCTCTCCTGTGTTCCATCCTCAAACCTGGCCCGCAGAGCCATCCCTCCCTGCCGTCCTTTCATCTGTGTGGTCCCCTTTCCACCACCTTGGGAACCGGACTTTCCCTGTCCCGTCTCCTCCTCCTCATCCTCATCCCAGTGCCACCATGAGCCATTCCAGCTCGACGACCCGGCCCACCCGGATCCGGACATGGCTTTTCAGTGATGCTACTTGTTCCTGTGCAACTGTGATGGATTCAAATTTCTGCATCAAAAGTAGTTACAGTTGAGCATATTTTATATATGCATCGATGACAAGGACATAATAAGAACCCCACTGCTCGATGAAGCTGCCATGATCTCTGTATTTCATGAACTCACAAACCTTCTTAAGTCTTGGGCCTTTGCTGTGCAGCACAGTGCTTGCATGTTGTTGCTAGTGCCCAACAGAATCCACTTCAGTGCTGCATCTTCAGAAAACTATGCACTCTGAGGCCTGAGCATCCCGATCTTCGGCTTTCTTTCAAGGCTGGCCTGCGGGTTGAATCAGTGTCTTTTTTTCTGGAGCTTCGATAGTCTTAGTCGCTGCATCTTCATGTGTGTGCGCTCTCACAGCGCCTGATGTCTTTCCTAAAGAGAATAGCATGCACCATGCGCTATCACAGCGCCAGAAAGCTTAGCTGCACTGTCACAGTGCCAGATAAGTCAAATGTTTGATGACAGCCCTACCCACCTTTGATGCCGGCAGGCCTTCTTCGATGTGCATGA